GGGTCAACGAAATGTGACACCCCATAAGGATATATGTTTTGTTGAGTGCCGATGACACCCAAAGAAATATAACACTGCTAAGGATGTATATATTTCTTGAATGCCAATGACACCCAAGGTATATATATACCTTGAGGGCTGATGACCCAAGGTACTGCCTCCTCTAGCGTCGTTGTGGCTGTCCGCCACAATCGCTCGTTCTATGGAAGTCCACTCCTCGCCTCCCCTCCCCAACGCCTGCGGTCACGCCTATGTAGCTCCTCAATGTCTGTTCCTGCACCGTCGCACCTCCTCACCGCCTGTCGCCGCTCCCTGTTGCCACTGTCGCACCGTCGCGCTCCTCGTTGCCTACATGTTCCAAGTCATCGCCGTGCACACCCTCTCCATGTCCATAGACGTGTCTGGCCATTTGGGCCAAACTTTATTGAAAGTTACTCAAATTTCATTTAAATTTGGTTTCCTTACTAGTTAGCACAAGTGATATCGGTCCAAATTTTTTGAAATTCTTCTATTTGGCAGGCTCTGAAATTTTTAACAAGAATCCAAAAAAAACTTGGCTTAGAACATGTTTGAGACAGCTTCAGCTCCGAAGAAAAATGTCCAGAGAACACCAACTGTATTACGGAGAAACTCTACTTTACGCCTGGTTGGTTTGGAGGCCAGCTCCAAATTTAGTAAATAAATGTTTCGACCGGAAAATAGATGTTATATGTCTTTGGGAGGTTGAAAGATAGATGTTTTGACATATCTAGCATATGTGGGGTGATTGACATTGGTTTAGAAAAACTTTGTAATTAATTTTTTAAGCATCACCGTAACGGAAACATTAATTGCAATGTTTGTTTATTTTCACACCAAAATTCGTAACTGCACATTTTTTTTAATAAAGGAAGCTTTTATTAAAACCTCAAAATAAATACATTGAGCCGATATGAAGCCTTAGAAAACAACTTCCGGTCTCTGCCTAACACGAGACACATAACCAACAAACGAGCTGAAACTTGGCACAATCTAATGACTATCAATTTATAAACTAGACCATTACCCATATGTCTAGGATAAATAAATCCTTGATGACGAAAGCATCACTCCATCAAGTACAAGCCAATAAGAGAAGGACCAGCGTGGGCATCCAACTCATCAACACCATGGCGACGGCCTAGTCCAACTCGAGTTGGAGCCCATCTCGAATTCCAAGAGCAGCCCTGGGTAAAGTCAACACCCAGATCACATCCGGACTCCGTTTTTGACAATACACATATGCATGAAAAAGATAATTCGATAATCTAACCAATGACTTTGGTTTGATGTCAAAATGCATCCTAAGTCAACAGGAATCGTCAAAAAAGTCAGTGTCTAGAATCTGCCAGGGTGTTATGACGTCCATTGGGCCGTGTATCGTGTCCAGGGTGGATGATGCCTAAGACTCATAATTAGCCGCCGTCACTCTCATTAGGGTTCCGGTTTTGTTGTGTTCTTGTTTTCTTCGTGAAACAAATATTGTTTGGTGCACTTGTATCTCCAAGATCTCTTGCTGTGAACTAGGGCCCTTGTTCTTGATCTTGATCGTCTGTGGCGACTAGTCCTTTCAAATAAAGACTTGAACTCCTTATCATATTCAAGCTTCATATTTACTTGTAATTTTAGATTGCGTTCATCCCTTTCTTGCTTGTGTTCTCGATTTACTTGAAAAGCCTTCTCGGCAAGGTCAATCGCGTTGTGCGTGGTTGATAACTAACGGAGCATCGGTGTAACGGTTGCGGTGGTCTGAATCAGTGTTGGTTTGAAGCCTAGATCATGAACATCAAGTTCTCCACCAATCGAAGTTATCGTACCTATTGGAAGATCCGGCCACGTCTACATCACTTGGTGGCCACCTGCGTCAAGTGTTGTGACACCACTTAACTGTATCCTGCAAATCTGGCTTCTACAAAATAGCCCAAGTACGTAGCATGTGGATAACCAAGTAGATAACCTGCATAGGAGAAGCATATTTTTTCTTTTCAAGAACAATATCATTTCTGCTGAGCCATATAGACCAACAAGTCATAGGTCCTCCTAACAGAAGTAAAAGCTTCACATCCTCATTGATACCTCTTAGCCAGCGACTAAACATATGACCTATATTGCGGGGTTTTAAAAGTCCTATCACAACTTGAATAAAAGACCAAATTGAGCTAGCAAACCGGCAGACAAAGAACAAATTCTTAATTATCTTGACAGAAGCAACAAGTTTTACTACCTTATAAATTGTGCTTTACTAGGTTATCCTTTGTTAATATAACTACTCAAATCATAGTACTGCAGGAAATTTTTTATTTTGAATAGGACTCACTTTTCAAATGAGTTTGTTAATGTTTGGGAATATCAATATGTAACGAAGCATTAAAGCTTGGTACTGTGACTACTGAGAATTGTCCATTGGATGTAAATTCAAATAAAACTCATCTTGCTCATGCGTCAACTATATATTAGCAATGCGGGGCAACAAATTGTTCCACGTTACTAATTTAGGACATATGAGGTGTCGCGGGGTCGGAACCGCGGCAAGCATTGTTGTTCGATTCGGTGTCAGAGTACGTGTCTCCGGTGGCTCGGGTGGACTCAAGAACACAAGAATCACAGAGAGGACGCAACAGTTTATCCTGGTTCAGGCCAATCGATGCCCTACGTCTAGCAACTGATGATCCTTATACTCAAGAGCACTAAAAATTGGGGGTTACAACAGAGTGTACAGGAGGTAGAGAGATATTTGGTAGGGGGTTAGCTCGCTGCTAATCCTGAGGTTGTCTCGCCGCCGGTGGAGCCTTGCCCTCATCAGAGAGGAGGAAGACAATGGGTGCGGTGGAGGAGCTCTCGGTGCCCCTCTCTGGGTTGCTCTGCTCTCGGTGCTGAGCAGGAGCGGATCGATGAGGAATGGAATGATCTGTCTGGGAACGTCCTCCCCCTCTAGGATCCGACTTTATCCCTTATATATTGAGATAGGTCGGGTATATGGTGGTTTGGGGTTGAGCCTAAGGTCTACATGCTCTGGAGTCCAGGAGGGTCTTGCAGTGGCGCTCTATGGATCGTGGCGGTATCGTTGAGCCGAAGAAGCCTTGGGCATCGTCCGGCTGGCCTGTTCTGACACATTGAGTATCAGGCTGTGTCGGCTTGGACCGGCCTCCCCCAGGCGCACCTTCTAGAGTCTTCTTGGTGGTGAGACAGGTCGGCTCGAGGGGCTAACGCGCGGGCCGGAAGCCCCCGAGCCCCTGGGGGCCATGGAGAGCTTGTCTTCTTGTGTCACGCCTCATGCGTGACCTTGTCGGGGGAGCGGCTGGCAGCGCCGCGCCCAAAGTGCACCGTCGGGGAGCCCCCTGCCGTGTCTTCATATGCCCGGACCATGGCTGGCGTCGTAGGCCGGGCAGGAGCAAAGAATCGGGCTCAGGTTTCCTCTCGATCTGGAGCCTGAGGCTCGGGCGAACCCCCAAGCCTTGGGCAGAGGCCGCGGCGTGCTCAGGCTCGGCTGGGTTTCTTGGTCTGAGGGTGCACGCGAGCGTACCCAATGGGTATAGCCCCCATGCCCTCGGGCGATCCTGAAAGGGTCGGTTGGGGGTCTTTTCGGTCGGGAACCATTGATCCCGATGCTTAACATATCCATATGTTAGGATCTCGTCAGGAGGCCTCATTCAAGATAGGTTTGGTGACGGACCAGAAAGAACTTCCACAATAGTAACATCTGGCTATATTGTAAAGACATGGATATTGTTCTTGTAAAGATAAATTTTCTAGTCATTTGTCTTAAAAAAACGTACATGTGTTCCATCCTTTACAAAATCCTAGTTCACAAAAGGGAATGCTGGAAACTACAACTAATATTCACTCTAAGAAAACCAGTTAAAAAGTAAAAAAAAAAGAACAAGGAGCAGAAACCACGTATATATGCCGTGCAGTTAATGTCACAGCATAATAAGTTTTCAAACGTCCAAATGTCTGTATACATATTCTAGTTTTCGTTCATAATAGGTCTATCTTGCATACGGTTCAGAGTTCAGACCATAGCCAGTTCAGACTTCAGACTATAAGAATGAAATTTGAAGCTTTCGGTCTTGTTTAGTTGCCAAACTTTGAATGTGCAAAGTTGGCAAAATGTACTGTAGCACATTGTAGCATTTCGTTTGTATTTGGTAATAATTGTCCAACCGTTAATTAATTAGGCTCAAAATGTTCGTCTCGCAAAGTACAACCAAACTGTACAATTAGTTTTTAATTTCGTCTACTTTTAGTATTCCATGCATGTACCGCAAATTTGATGTGACGGAGAATCTTCTTTTTACAAAGTGCCAAAGTTCGGAGCTTGGGAGGAACTAAACAAGTCCTTCATCTATATATGGAGGAGTCCATATTAACTATTGCACTTGCCATTAAACCGTACCTGGGTAAATTGCTAAAGTCCAATAGACAGGTTTAGCGGTAGACCACCTTTTTCAGCCTTGACTCTTGAGTCTTGACAAACTTCACAATCTGCCTACAGATTTTTGGCTCAAGAAAAGGACTAGCAGATGAATCGACTGATGTCAAACACGATCGCAAGAAATTAGCAAACGATGCTGCGAACAGTTTTTATACTGAAAATCATTCTCACATTGAGGCACTAAGCATTGAACAGAGTACGAGAGCAATGAATCAGGGATCTATTTGCTTCAGTCAGAACATTGTTACTGATCCAAGAACTAGCAAATCATCGTTTATTGGCATCAAAATTCAGTTCGTCATGGCTGAACACATATCTGAACAAAAGAGCAGGAACACAGCTAAGCTCTACAAGTTCCAAGAAAGCGAATGACAGAGACAACGAAGGAATCAGAGCATCAGACAACACGCACCACCAGACTACCCTCCATCAGTTCCAAGAATGCAGAGAAAGAATCCTTCAAGAACCTCTAGAAGAACTAATCCAGACGGCCCCCAAAAGACGCTTCAACACCGTCAGCGTCCCATCGAAGCTTGATCATGCGTGTTTACTGCGACGGCAACACAAACAGTAGCTCATCCTGGAACCGCATCGACGGCGGATACCGCCGTCGCCCCTGGTCCAACGCCAGCTGCCGCGGTGGCCCCTGCTCCAACGCCAACCGCCGCGGCTCCTGAGCCTCCAAATCCGACGTCGACGTCGACGACGGCGCCGACTGCGCTGGCAGTGGCACAGTGGCGCCAATGTCGGCGGCGCCTTCCACAGCAACATGGGGTGGACGGTCCTGCAGCAGGCCGGGCAGCGCGTGAGGTTCTCGCGGAGCCACTCGTCGATGTTGCTCCCGCACTTGGGACCCTTGCGTAGGTGGAAGTGGATCACGTGGCCGCAGGAGAGCGTGCGGACTGCGGACCTCCTCCCGCTGGTCCAGGCTGTGGCCGCACAAGGCGCGGTCGTAGGCCAGCGCCTGCCCCAGGGTGGTGACGCCGCCGAGCGCCCAGACGCGCATCCGCCGCCATCCTCTCGAGAACCGGCCGTCGCGGTAGCCCTTCATGGCCAACTAGCAGCTCGCGCCACCCAAGAGCATAGATGGCCAAATGGGCTAGGCCCGCTGGACCGGCACTGGCACGACACTAAAAAGCACGGTCCGAACATGGCCCAGTCCGAGGCCCATAGTGCTAGTGTCAGGCATGGCCGGATGGTAGTAGGGCCATGCCTGGGTTGTAGATCCCGCTCGCAGTGCTAGAACGGGCATGGCATGATAAATAGACCGGCACGATGACGGCCGATTCGTCCTAGGCGTTGGATGCCATCAGGATACACCAGCATCCTTGGATGAACTGTAAGTAACATATATAAACAAAAATGTGCTTGTAGCTAACTCTCCTCTACTCATTCCTGCGCAGCTGCCAACCTCTCCCTCTGGAGCCCTCCGTCTCCCCTGCTTCTCTCACCCGCAGTTGCGTGCACGGCCTCGCCCGCGGCGGCGCGCGCGGCCTCGCCGAAGGCCTTGCCCGTGGCGGCGCTCGTGGCCTCGGTCGTGGCGCAGCAGCGGCGGCCCCAACCCCAGTCTTGCGGATTTTTCTATGATGTGTGGACTTGGATTTTTGATTTGTATATCTATCCCCCTTCTCTCGTTGTATGATTGCTAAGTCCTTTTCGATTTGTGTTTGCCATGGCTAGAATATGTGGATCTCCGAACTCGGATATTGCCTGGTACGGCACTAGCACGGTGGGCCGTCGTGCTCGTTTGAACGACACGGCACGGCTAGGAAGCTCTAATGTCGTCGTGCCTGGGCCAAGACTTTGGAACGGTAGCACAATGCAGTATGGCTATGGCACCGTGCCCAATAGTGCCATGCCTGGCAGTGTGCTCGTGCCCATGCCGTGCCTAGCTGTGCACATGCTCGTGTCGTGCCGTGCGGCCTAGTTGGCCATGTATAGCGAAGAGGGCAATGGAGGCGCCGCCGACCGTGGTGCCCATGGCCATCACGAGTTCCCGACGTTTTGCTATCGTCGGCCATGCTGGCGCCTTCTCTCCTCTCCCCCTTCCTTGCAGCTTGCCTCTCCTCCTCTAGCTCTCTCATTCTCTGGCTTTCTTAATTGTTCACGTTAATCTAGGATTCTTCGCATTTGGGAGGTGGCAATGGCATTGTCGGCGGTCATTATTTGTAGGAGGGGGGTTAGCTTAGTCGGTTAGTTATCATGTAGGCTCTAGGTCTAGATCCTCGACACCGGACGCTGCTGGAGGAAGAATGTTGTGAGTAATTAGAGAAAATTGGGTATTTGGGACACTAATCGTTGCGCTTTGCAGTTTTGCAATTCGTAACTATCATGTAGGCTCGTTGGCTGGCCACCGCCGCCAGGGGCAGGCTGGCTGGCCGCCTTCTGGGCAGTATAGAAAATCTGGGCATACAGTAACATGGCCGGCGCGGCAAGACCTCTGGCGGGCGCAGCCTTGCATCCACGGCTACGACCAGGGCTTTGGCCCGCGCAACCTGGTGTCCGGTGGCGGCGGATAGGGCTTCGGCCGGCGCTTCAACTCTTTCGGTGGCCGCAACAACTCCTCCAGTAGCCGCGGCCGCGTCAAGGTCGGGGATCGGGGCGGCCGGCGGCGGCACACGTATGATATGTCGAGGTCATAATACCATGCTGCTCGCCGGTGCTGCTCGGCTTTGATTCCAAACAAGCCAAATATTACACTTTATTACACAATTATTCAATAGTTCAAATACACAATTCAATTGTCATGGACCATACAATTCAATCACACACATTAACTATGATCTATTGAACAAACCATTGGCTATTTGATCACGGAAAGCATTCATATACATAGATTCGTCTCTTGCTTGAGTAGTCCGCGGAAGTAGTTGAGAGGTTGATGCTTCAAGTAGAACAAAAGACCAGAAGGGTAAAAACATCCTTATAGGTGCTAAATACATGAAGGAATACTAGAAAACAGAGGAAATGCACAAAATGACAACAAAATCAAGTGTCACGTGTTTGAAGGCCTATTTTTACGAAGTCCATATTATGAATGGCAAAACTGCGATGCGTAAAGATTGGAGTCCCAAATATTCAATTTTCTCTCTCCTACTATCGTAGCAATTTCTGCAAACAAATTACATTACATCTTCAGCTATTGTAAATCTTACGTAACCAATAGCAGGCTAGCAGCTGTACCGTTCACCTGGAAAATGCAAGAAAAAAATACTCCGAACAAGCAAAGCGTACTGCAAGATTTTCTTCAAAATTGTTAATCGTATCTTCAGTTCGACTGCCTTTTCGCAGCTAAAGACCTGGTTTGAATCCATTTGCTATGGACTAAAGCTGAAATGTTTGGATCATGGTAAAAGTTTAGTCCTCCATCCTATAATGACGGATTTGCTTCACATTTATTTTGATTTGCCCTCATTTATTTATTTAAGCCATGCACAGCCCTGCATGGTGGCCTGCTGGGCGGCGGGCTGCTGCTCGTTGGTGCTGTTGGGCGCCGGGCTGCTGCTCGCCGGTGTTGCTGCTCGCCGGTGCTGCTCGGCTTTGATTCCAAACAAGCCAAATATTACACTTTATTACACAATTATTCAATAGTTCAAGTACACAATTCAATTGTCATGGACCATACAATTCAATCACACACGTTAACTACGATCTATTGAACAAACCACTGGCTATTTGATCACGGAAAGCATTCATATACGCAGATTCGTCTCTTGCTTGAGTAGTCCGCGCAAGTAGTTGAGAGGTTGATGCTTCAAGTAGAACATAGTTATCATCACGATCACAACGATCAAAGTCTTTATCCACTATTCGACTCACTCAAATAAAGTTATGAAGTGACATGCATGCTATGATTATTTGGCTTTGCTTTTGCATTAGATAACTTGACATATGCAACAAAATACTCCACTTCATCTTCAAAACTCCAAATGACCACTCGATGACATTTCTAAGAGATGAATGTGCGAAATTGAAGGTATATTTTTTACCTTTTGGTAGTGGTCCTTCTCGATGCTCCGGAAGATAGTACTTTCTTTCCTTGTAAGGTGCAAGATAACCCGTATGGCTCGGATATCCCGAGTCCACTAGGTAAAATTTCCCTACAAATGGGAACATTATTGTTAGAAGACACACGAGTTGCAACATTACAGTAGCTTCAATGGCATCATAGAAAGTATTTTACCCGGAGGTGGATGCGGAAACTTGTCACCGTACTTGTTCATGGCATCATTGAACACTCTCATGTCATGTACAGAACCGGGTTAGACAGCAAGAACAAATGTGAACCTCATGTCAAAGTCACAAACAGCTAGCACATTATGTATTGTAAAGCCCTTTCGACATATATGTTGAACCAGCTTATTATTTGGTACCACAACTGGTATATGAGTGCCATCTAGTGCTCCTATATAATTATTGAAGTATGGATGGAACCTAATATTTCTCAACGTACGGTGCATTGTTCTAAATTCAGGGTCCATTGGCCAAATTATGTCTGTGGCTAGCTTTACAACACATTGCAAAACATTGTCAAAGTTGTGGTGAATTGTCTCTAGTGATCTCTCAAATCTATTCTCAGCTTGCCTGACTAAATGAGTTGCTCCAAGTATCCAAAGGAACATAGCTAATGCCTCTACTGATGTACTCTTTGCTGTGGACCTGAGGCCATATGACTCCACCAACAGATCATGAAGTCGATCAAATATTTGTCTACTCATCCTAAATATGTTGTAGCATTTGGTACTATCTGCTTGATTTTTCTCTACCCAATCTAATCCATTTTCAGTGGGTTTCCTCCTCTTAGCTTTATGCATGTAAGTGTCATAGTACACACCAAACATGAGCATACCTTCTAGGAACTCTCTGTCATCATCATCCTAATCAACTAGAAGCTTGAAAAGTTCATCTTCACTTGATTCACTAGCAGTCTCCCCATCACTAGCAATCTCCCAATCATCACTTGAAGAGTTACTATCCTCACACATAATTCATCACAAACTCATAAGTCTACTGCAAATATAACACAAGAAACAACAATAGGATAACATGATCACAGGCACAATTTCACCACATAAGAGGTTCAAATCACATAACAGGTTCAAATGACAAACATAACAGGTTCAAATGACAGACATGGTTCAAATGACAGACATAGTTCACAACTTAATGATAGATAAAAGGTTTACAAGCACATCTCATAACCCAATCTAAATCAGTTTCTTGAGCCTGCAATATCTCTGCAAGAAGGCCGGTCCTCCTTCTGGTGTAGACATTCCAATGAAGAACTCCCTACTGCAGTCATCTTTGCAAATCTTGGAAGCAGCATAAAACTCAGGACTATCTTCAGTTACCCCACACTCTTTAGCCAACTACTGAGCATTCTTAATTGACTCACCCAACACAGCCTTCCTCTGTTGCTTCTCACTGCATGCTTGCTTGTAGAACTCATTTCTTTCAGCTTGGTTCTTAGACCAGCCACTCATGTATTGCCTCATCATCCTAACCACTTGGCTTTTGGTTTTCTTTCCAGGACTTGAACATGTGGTGCTAGTACTGCTTGCTCTCTTGTAGCTATTGGTACTCATAGGACTCCGGTCAATGTCTTCAGTTGCCTCCTCCTCTTCCTATTCCAGAGGGGCTCTTTGATCCTCCAAATTGCTATGTCCAACAACAAAGGAGGTTGATCCATTCACAGCTACACCATGGAATATTTGTTCAAGCTGATCCAAATACTCTGGCCATCCCCACCTTAGTTTCTTCCATTCTGAGTGGCCCTGCACAATAAGTGAAAATTGAAGTCAGAAAATGATCAACAAGACTAGAACATGAATCAACAGAACCATAACAGATAAGTGTACCTCTGCGTGGTCATCCCACCATTGTTGAGTGGCATCAATAGTGCCATCAGGTTTACGGCCTAAGGCAGTGTCGTTTTGTAGATCCCGTAAGTATGCCTTCAGTTGCCTAATTCTGTTACTGATCTGCTTCCTATCATGCCTCAGGTTGGTTGCGCAATAATACTTGTTTATAATCTCCATATACCCTCTTGCT